AGTCCTCTTTCGTTTTCTCCAATGGCGCCTGCAAATTGAAATCATTGAGCCACGAAGATAAGCTGGACCTCGCAACGATCAATCGAGGAGGTTTAGTTGACCTGCGTGCATATGAACTTTCTCCCAGTTAGCGATACAATATAATTGGCATTTATATAGTCCGATGGGGAATCTCGAAGAACGACTCTGGTTGCATCAAGACACCGTATATCAATGTACCTGAATCAAAGCAACCATTCCAGATTGAATTCGCGGGGTAAAACGGTCGATAATGAAATTGTGGATGCCGATTTGACTGGAAAAAAGCAAAGAAAACCGCCAATGAAGCCCCAAATAAGGACTCCCTTGTTTCCTCTTGAAATGAAGGAAGGGGCGGGCCGGACGAGCTGTCCGAACTAGCTTGCTCCGCCGGCATTTATTGCTGGCTCGAATCAGTATGAGTGAAGTGCATCATCGTGTCCCTTGTGACAAGTAACTACAGCAGTGATTAAAGAGAGCGCAATTTCTGCCAACATCCACAACAGAACGCGGGCTAATCGTATGGGCGGGGTTTGGGCTCCACACCACAGTGATCTCTATGGTTGACCCTATCTCTTTACCGTGTTATACCGTACTAGAGGACGAGTAATCGGTGAGAATTTCGTAGGTGAACCGTTACAATTTTTCATACAATCGGTGCGCTTTGTGATCTTTAGGCCACTCAAACTTTTCACTATTCATGACCCCGGTGTTTCGCATGCAAGTTCATTTTCGAGCGCAATTACGCCCTCACTTACAAGGGGAGGTCGTCAGGGCGTGGAGCGCTTTCTGAAAACGGTTTTTTGCATGAAATAGGGGCATGTGCAGTGAATACAGAACTATGGTCCATTTCCGCTAAATGGCCCTCTGAATGCCAAAAAATGCCAATTTTGTGGCGTCAGATCACAATGCAAAAATTTGTCACCGCGGGGAATCGAACCAAGGACCACCTCCTCCTTTTTTGGCATTCAGAGGGCCATTTAGCGGAAATGGACCACAGTTCTGTACTTCCAGGCACATCCCTCTATATCATAGGAAAAACCATTTTGAGAAAGCGCTCCACGCCCTGAACGACCTCCCTCGTTAGTTACGGAACGTGCCTCTATGTATCCCAAATTGGGGTCATTTTTTTTCTTTGCCCAAGAAAGTGCTGACAGACCTATCCTTGTGAGGATTTGCATCACTGGCTAATGTTGTAGCGTCGGGTGCTTTGTACCGACGATTTGCTCTGAATTTTCGTAATTGATAGCTCAAACCCTGTAAAAAACGTATCGTTGCTTTACTCGTCCATTTTGTGCAATTTCCAGCTTTTTAGTTCCCGGCAAGCTGTTGGATGTCCTTCACAAGCTGAATGTTACCTTCTTTAACGTTCTTTCCATCCATGCTAATCGAGGCTCTGCACATTTTTGGAGGCTTTCATAAAAGGCCTTGGTGCTAGGGTTGTCATCTTCTAGGTCAGCTGAAAAACTACGCATATACAATGGTGTATATGTACCCTGTTTTCTATGAGCGGATCTGCCATTCACGGGATGGTGGCTTCAAAAATCATATCGCGTGCACTTTTTGATGCTCGTGATGCTATATGATGCCACGTGCGTTACTAGGTCCGCGATTACGACCGGCTCAAACTTGAATTGAAGTTCACGCCCTCGGGTTCATCAACTTGGTTCGGAGTCCCGGAAGCCGGAAAGAAGTGGATAGAGGTCTGCAAAAAGGAAGGGGTTGAGTGCTATTGGTGGCTGGAGTGTGCATTGAAGTAGGCTGCGCTTGCAACAGAACATTATAACTTGGTTCCAAAAAGTCCTGGTGGCCGGAGAAAAGTGGATGGAGGTGGACGAAAGAAAGTACTTCAAGTACTGTTGGGGGGTGGGTGGGGTGTGCGCCGAAGTGGGCGGAGTCTGTCAGGAGGGATTAGAAAAAATATCGATGGGCCTGTTTTATGCCAGTGCAGTCCCGTGTGATGCACGCGAATGCGTGCGCAGCCAAACTGGTAGAAAAATAGAGAAGAAATTTAGCGCATTAGCGCCGACAGCCCGGAATTTGGCCGCGTGGTTTTGACATTTATGGTTCACTGTAGGTGTCATGGTCTTTCCTCAATCGAGAGATATCCCCAAATATCTTTTCCAAGTATCTTGAATGATGTATAGCCTGTTCGAGGCCAACAACTGTGACTTACCGCAATCCCAAGCTCTTTCCGGTACAAGTGGAGCGCTCACGGCTCGTGGCTTGATCATCTGGGCAGTAGCCTAAAAGGAGAGAGGCTATCAAACGGTAGAGTTATTCTGGAGCGCAGTCACCTATTGCTAGAGACGTGGCTCATGCTAAGAAAGGAACTAGGAAGTATACAGGGGGGGGCAAAAAAAAGACATTTTGCCCATGTCGCACTTCGGCCTTTTTTCTTCGCAGAGATTGCCGTCGTTGACGGAAGTTCCTCAGCAAAATATTCCCTAAATGTCCCTCTATAAGTGACGCAGGCCCTCCTTCACTGCCCTCACCGTCTTCAGAATATGACGTCATCTGTCACCGTCGTCAAGCTCAAGGAGGCCTACAGTAACTGCTTCAGCCTGAAGCTCTTACATAATTTCTTGAATCGATTCAACGTGGATAGTTTCCTAGGGACATTAGCTCTAACTATGCAAACCCCCTCGGAACCCGCCCTTCGGAACCCGTCGTAACGGTACACGATCAGTCGAGAACCCCATTGAGCTCGACCAGAGCACCATGTTTCCGGGCAAATTTTTCTGATGCCGTCCACGTAGGTGGCCACTATGAAGATTTTCTTATAAAAAATGCGCTCTTCAATAATAAGTTGGGACCATTCGGTTTGAATTGAGCAAAGTGTGATTAAATCCATCTGAAGTGGAGACAAAATGTCTTTTTTTATTGCCCCCCCCCCTGTATATCTGTTAACTACGAGCAACGCTCAACTGTTGCACAAGCTGGGTAATACTGGAGATGGCCACATATTATAGCCCCGGTGTTCGCTCCTTTACGGACCACGTTTACAGCTGAAAAATTTTATACCTACCCGGGGGCACGTGACGCTCTATGCTGCATTATTTTATGTTTTTTCAATTTACTGGCTTTTCATCGCATGTGAGGCACCTACAGGACCAGCACTATGCTCTGCGTGCTCCCTAAAATTGAAATGAAACGCAAATTACTACCTTCCTTTCTGTTTCTGTGACCGGGCTCGGTTTTTGTACTGGTGCCTTCCTTTTTGTGACCGAGACTGGGCTGGGTTTTTTCCCGTTCGGTTTGCGTACTGCTTTCGGTTTTGCTTTCTCCGATTGTGGTTTAGTTTTCAAAGATGACTCAGGAGTCGCACGAGCTGTCCGTATTCGCACAGAAGTTGATCGCTTTGGTTTTGGCCTAAACAGCATTACTGCATAAGCTGAGCTCGGGAACACTAAGGTATACGCGTCCTTACCTGAGTCCTACGGCGGTGATTTCGAGTTCGCGTAAATCCACCACATCCTGAAAAAGGCCACATTTTTCACTTGATAGCGAATTTGTACTTCACTTATCATTAGAGGTTCCAGAAGTGATCGTCAAACGATACAAGTTGATCAGTCTTCTTTGGGGTGTGTCATGCATTCCACCTCCATTCAGGGCCGTTGTGGCATTTGAACGTGATTTGGCCCCAACGACTATGCGTTGTGGCCGTTGTTCAGCTCAGTATTCTTTTCCTCTCGAACCAGTGTGCTTCCTTCAACCGATACGGGAGTAATGGAGTGTTAGGGTAGCCTACGGGTCGCGATTGACTAGGCGTGGGATTCTTCTTAGAAAAGGAAACAAGAGTTGCAAAGATGATCATTAGTGAGGAAGAAGCAAAAGGAGCCAAAGAAAGCATTGAAGTGCGCTCCTTTCCTTGTGAGATCGCTGAGAGACACGCTGCAACAAAAAGAGGGAATACGCGAGGAAACACGTCGTACGAGAGGGCGCAGCAGGGTGAATATCGGTCGAGGATTCCTCAACGGCACGTCGAGGATTTTCGCCTGATCAGTTACGTCTCCCGCGCGGACATTCACACTCGCCATGCGCGAGCCGTCTGTGCTCTCCGCGCGTACGTTCACTCTCGGCACTACTCTCGCACAGCGCAGAGCTATGGTCGAGGAATTCCTCCACCGTTAGATAGTCTGGGGCGCAGACACCGCAAATGTTCCAGACGAGAGAAAGTGGCAGCGCTTGCAGCGGTCAAGGCAAGCCTTATCGCCTTTGTTGCGCCGCATTTTAAAGTGGCAACAATGTTGCAGCTCGTGTACTGGAGCACGACCTAAATCACGGAGAGAACTTCAGGATCGAATTACCACCCGCACGTTTTATGGTGACCATGCCTTTATTCCAAAGTTAGTTGTTAGGTTTTTTTTGATGAGTCAAATCATGGATAAGTTTGGACGCTGCAGATTCCTAGACTTTTGGCATGATGCCAATAGTTCTGAATCTTTTCTTTGCAACTGCAAAAAGTGCATTGCTTGCGGAAAGTTGTGAGACCGGTGTCAGACTTTGCGAATCGAGCGATTCGCTAGCGAATCGCTGGATACCAGCGTTGCACCAGCGAATCGACCTACGTTGTACCAGCGGATCGAACTATGTGCCAGCGGATCGAACGATGTACCAGCGGATCGAACGATGTACCAGCGACTCAACTGTTTGAAAGTGGCGGGACTCCCTCTCGTTTGCACGTTGACTCTCGCCACTTTCCGAGCTCTCATGCCCTCGTGAGCCCGGGAAAGTGGCGAGAGCCAACATTCAAAGGAAGTCCGCCACTTTCAAACAGTGTCGAGTCGCTGGTACATCGTTCGAACCGCTGGTACACAGCTCGATTCGCTGGCGCAATGTTCGTATCCCACGATTCGCAAAGTCTGACACCAGCCTAGGACTGCTTTGCCACACATCGAGCCACTACTCATCTGAAAATTCTCGAAAGATGTTAAAACAACAGGAATTACCTCTGCTTCCTTACTGTGCTCTGCTAACCGCGGTTCAATGCGTTTGAACGGTTGTTTTAGGTCTTCTTTTGAGGCTTTCTTGAGTTCCTCTTCAGGAGGCGTTATTTCGAGTTCTTTGCTGAAGTGAAATCTTTTCTATTCTCGGCCTACAGCTGTTTTGCACACATGGAATCGGAAACAGCTTACAATTTCACAGGTGCCAGCCCATCAGATTCGCAGGTTGACTCCACGTCCTAGGTGGTAAAACATTTGAATGAATAAGCGGTTGAAGCACACAGCATCAACCCCAGGTTTTGATGTTTCCTTTTGTTAAAGTAAGCGATTACGATAAGGAGGGAGCGCTTTGGGGAAGTATGCGAAGCAGCAGCTTGGTAGCCAAGGAAGCGAACGGCGGTGTTCCACCACAAGTGCGTCTAGTTCGCTGAGCAGACCGTCCGAAAAGCACTCCGCCCACATAGTCGATCCGTCCGCTAGTCTAAGTGGTGATTTAGGAACGAGCCATATACTGGCCACCGGCGGCCGCGCAGGGATATGCCGGGCCCGCAACCCAATCAGTGGCACAGATTGCTAGGGATAACAGCAACGGCTTGAACGAGGCAAAACCTTAGCGCTGCTGCCTCGCACTGAGTAGTCGTGGTGATGAAGCTCCTCCTGCGCTTGGGAGCTCCTCATTCTCACTTTTGGAGGGAATGACTCTCGGCAAATCCCGACCCATGCCTTTTCCCCATTCGAGATCACACGTATTTCTCGAAAACACCCGTTCGAGTCAGCGCGCCTCAAGGCGATTGTGAAATGTCATTCACCAGTGGTCGACATTGTCGGACGAGGGTCAACCGTGACGTTCGCACTTTTCAAAAATTTCGCGACCCTCCTCCTATAGAGAGGTTTCGATGCCACACACCATGAGACTCAAGAGGCTCCACCAATACGACCACCACCCTCGCCACCATGCTGTTCATAGTATTGTGAGACACTTCAGCTTATGCAAGGCCCGCCGTTTCGACGTTGCTGGAAGCTTCTCTGAAAAATAAATGAAGTTGAACAGAAGATCATTCCCGCCTAGGGCCAGCAAAATACCAATGGACCCTCTATTTGGAAAGAGAGAAGAGCGTTGGCACGTCTCGCCAACACACGACTCCGGGAGGGGGGGAGGGGAAACTTCACACCAAAAACAGAGAGTAGAGCAGACGTGGCTTTTCTTCGGGAATTGGCCGTTAGTCATTGCTGTCATGTCCTGCACTCGCGCTCTTGGCAGTTTTTCAAGGACTTGATCAGATCCCACCAAACTAACATGGTCCGCCCACCGCTCGATATCTTGTCTGCGTCGCAATGTTGATCTGCTATGCTCTCTCTACTCGACTTCTCTACCCTCTCCGCGCTCACATTATCTCTCATCTCCCTGCCTGCCTTTCGAACTTCTCCTTAGCGCAGAGCAACAAGGATCGCACTTCCTGGATTTTTCTCGATTTTTTTCCGCACTTGCAATCCGCCTCCCATCCCTACTCCGTGGGATTATTCCGTCAATTCAAAGGACGAATTCACGATGAAAAAGCAACCCATTTCAAATTAACCTAGGATGGTGAGTGGTACACGAAAGAAGGAAAAACCATGAGAAACGGCCCAGAACCCGAGAAATGGGACCCCTTCCTTGCCCGTTGATTTGAGCATTGATGCGACTCTCATCGCTGTGCCCTCTTCAACACTACGCTCTCTCTAATCACTCGCCACGTATAGACCTGCGGCGAGTGATCAGATGGTCGGTGGGCGTACCCCGCCAACCGCGCCAAGAGTGAGCCATGCTGGATCTCGGCCAGCTCCTTCAGGAGGTCTGCCTGTCTCCCAACTATGCAA